GTTACCAGGTCTGACCCTATAAGGATACCAGCTCTACCCCATACAGATACCAGCTCAACCCCATGGCAGCCGCCTGTGTTCACCCCCCCCTTTTCCTCCTCTCCCCTCTCAATCTCCCAGTGCACCTCAAGCGCCACTTCATGTTCCGCAACCACCTCTGCCTGGCCTTCGAGCTCCTCTCCTACAACCTCTACGACCTCCTGCGCAACACCAACTTCCGCGGCGTCTCCCTCAACCTCACCCGCAAGTTCGCCCAGCAGCTCTGCGCCGCCCTCCTCTTCCTCGCCACCCCCGAGCTCAGCATCATCCACTGCGACCTCAAGCCCGAGAACATCCTCCTCTGCAACCCCAAGCGCTCCGCCGTCAAGATCGTCGACTTCGGCAGCTCCTGCCAGCTCGGACAGAGGGTGAGCGGCCTCCGAACGTGCCTCTGGCTTTAGGTTCTGCCCCTTGGGCCACCAAATCTCGCCCCCTGGGTTGCCAAGCGTTGCTTGAGGCTGGTTTGGGGGCTATGGGCCACTGAGCTCTGCCCCCTATAGGCCTAAATGTTGCCCCGTGATGCCCTAAATGTGCCCCCTGAAGGGCTAAGCCCCGCCCACAAAGGGTTAAGCCCCGCCCACAAGCCTTCAGGTCACACCCACCCCATTGGCTCCACCCCCTGGGCCACCAAATCCCACCTCTGGGTTGCCCAGCCCTGTTTTAGGCTGGTTTTGGGCCAATAGACCATCAAGAACTAGGCTAAGCCCCGCCTACAAGGGTTAAGCCACGCCCACAAGGTCTAGGGCCACGCCCCCTTGCCTTGGCTCCACCCCCTGGGCCACCAAGAGCCTCCCCTAGGTTGCCAAGCCCTGCTTTAGGCTGGTTTTGGGCCAATAGGCTATCAAGAACTAGGCTAAGCCCCGCCCACAGGGGCTAAGCCACGCCCCCTGGTCAGTAGGCCACGCCTTCCCTTGGCTCCACCCCTTGGGCCACCAAGACCCAACTCCAGGTTGCCAAGCCCTGCTTTAGGCTGGTTTTGGGCCAATAGACCATCAAGAACTGGTCTAAGCCCCGCCTACAAGGGTTAAGCCACGCCCACAAGGTCTAGGGCCACGCCCCCTTGCCTTGGCTCCACCCCCTGGGCCACCAAGAGCCACCCCTAGGTTGCCCAGCTTTGCTTTAGGCTGGTTTTGGGCCAATAGACCATCAAGAACTAGGCTAAGCCCTGCCCACAAGGGTTAAGCCACGCCCACAAGGTCTAGGGCCACGCCCCCTTGCCTTGGCTCCACCCCCTGGGCCACCAAGAGCCACCCCTAGGTTGCCCAGCTTTGCTTTAGGCTGGTTTTGGGAGGCCATGGATCATCAACAACCATCCCTCGATGGCCTAAGCCCCGCCCACAAAGGGTGAAGCCCCGCCCACAAGCTCTCAGGACACACCCACCCCATTGGCACCACCCCCTGGGCCACCAAATCCCATCTCTGGGTTGCCCAGCCCCATTTTAGGCTGGTTTTGGGCCAATAGACCATC